GATTAGCCGGCCGCTCACCTGGCCCCTTTTTTCTGACCTTGTTGTTTCAGGTTCGCCAGCTTGGAAATCACTATCTCTTACTATTGTAGGAATTATCCCGTGCAAAATCCATGGCAATTATGTTGTCTTTTTTTTAAGTCAACCAAGTTCTTCATGGCTTTCTTCGTATTCTTTTAGCACCTTCAACTTGCGGTTGGACATTATCAACAAATGAATATTGATGACCAAAAATCAGCTCCGAAAGACAGCCTGAGAAAAAGAGCTCTACAAAACAACCAATGTGTTTGGGAATCATAACTCAGCTAAACTCAGGAAAAGAGAAGCCTAGTCAGAGAACCATCTCTCTCTGGTCCAGGGATCATCTTTGCTTGAAGAATCAGTTTGGTCTAGCATAATGAAGCTTCTAGATCATGGTAAATGATGGAAGATAAAAGATAATCAAAAATCAAAAGAGATTAAGAGATAGAAATCCCATTTGATTGGGATAACAAACATCATCCTAAACTAATAAGGGAGAGTAGAGTCTACTCTCATGAAGAACCTCATCCACTTAATTAATTGATAAAGGAGACTGAGTGATATAGATCGTATTAGCTCTAATACCAAATTAATGTAGATCGTATTAAGGAAGAATTAGGGACGAGAAGAGAAGAAGAAGGAGATGAGAAAATAAGAAAAAAATGATGAGAATAGAGAGAGAATTTGAGGAAAAAGCAATATCAAGATTCAATATCAACAATCAATAATCAAAGTCTGTCAAAACAAATATTATATCCCCTATATATAGGGAGAGTACAAACCCTAAAAGAACTCTAAAATAAATAAATAGTCAAAATAACAACTAAACCCCTGAAAAATAAAATGACATATAAATTATAATCCCTACGCCTATGCCTTCTATAACGAAATATAATCCGATTCCTATCACTAAATCCTATAAAAGGAGCTCTGGTGGAGTAAAAAGAGGTATGACACTCTTAACCTAAAAAGAGTACTTTATATCTTGAATTCTCAACTAACTTAAGCATTAAAGGGTCGATTCCCGGAGCTCCCCTGTGGTCTCTAACTTTTTTTCCATGTGATCAAGGTCCGGCAAGCTCCAGTACAAGATGGATAATGTGCCAACACCAATCTCTTGAATTGATCTACGTTTCTAGGTTTAAAGGGCCCAACCCAAGTAAGACAAGTTCAAGCCCTTCTAACCCATTCTAACACAGGAATATAAAAAGTGAAAATTAGAAGTGAATCTCCCTGAGTGTACTTGTTTGGAGATAAGTTCTACAAGAAAATTTATAAGAGACTAATTCCGTGTTTAAAATTATATGTAATAACTTAAGTCCACTTTTTTTTTTATCTCAAAAATACCCTTCCTTGAAAGGATGTTAAATTAATTTCCTATTTTGGATATAATTATTCTTTAATTCAATGTCAATTAAAATATGTCAATAAAATCTCCATCATAAATTTAAAATTCAAATTCAAAGTTCTCTCTCTCTCTCTCTCTCTCTCTCTCTCTATATATATATATATATATATATATATATATTTTACTCAAATTAGGTAAAATAACTCTGAGATCAAGTCTCATGGCTGTGGCATTATTAAGGGAGGCAGAAAAGATCATACGAAGGTTCTCAATTCATGAAATGTGGACTCATCAAGAGAGAAATTTCATACCGCGAATATTGAGAACGATGACGAAGGATTCCCAAGTAGTCTCTAACAATCCGTCTTCGTAAGATTTTTTATTAGTCATATATATATTCAAATTTATATTACTATTATTTTGAGCATGTTCTTTTTGTTGTTGAACATGTTATTATTATTATTTTGAATGTTACTATTTTTTATGTTTAATGTTACTATATATATATATATAAGAGAAAATTTTAATGTTAAACAAACTCTTAACTTATATATGAATATAGATAGATATGAGAGAGAAAAGATTTTAATGGTTAAGATTTTTTATTGGTCATATATATATATATATATATATATATATATACCTAACCTATATATTCAAATTCATGTTACTATTTTTTTTAGTATGTTATTATTTTTATTGAGTATATTACTGTTTATGTTACTATTATTTTGAGCATATAACTAATATTATTTTGAATGTTACTATATATATATACCTAACCTATATATGGATATAAATAAATAAGAGAGAGAGAAAATTTTAATGTTAGTCAAACTCTTAACCTATATATGAATATAGATAGATATGTGAGAAAAAATATTTTAATGTTAATCAAACTTCTTAGATTTAGGAGTTTTTAATTTTTAGTTTTATTTCACTTTAAAAGGAATGGATAGTATGATAAAATTGACAAAAAAAAAACTTCATAACAAATAAGTTTCTTTAACGGACTTAAGTTCAAACAAGTGCATACAAGAGACTCGCCTCTAAATTTCCCATAAAAAAATCCCTTTTGGGTCCATTTCTAGAAATAAGTTGAAGTCCAAATTTCGTTAGGAGATGTCTATTAGCCCCTGCTTGCTTGCACCATCAGAGCCCACCAGCAACAAAAGCTTTTTAATACTTCTAACACCCATACAACTTCGTTAAAATCATCTCTCAACTCAGTTACCCCTGATTTTTCAATTTGAATCTGGCTCTATAATCAGTTTTCCTTGATTAATGGACTCATTAACTGCATCATTAACTATCCTGCCCTTCTTATTAACTTCATCCCTATTTTTCGGGTCCAGCCCAACTCAGTTGACCCACTTAATTTGGCCCAAGGTCTGGGTGCATCAAGTTTGGACACCTTCTCCATTCCTCTTATGCCATGTCCGCCCCTCCCAGAACACACAATCGTCATCAACCTTCCAACTGAAGTACGCAATATCCTTGCTACCTCCCTTGGTCTGTAAATTTGGGCAACTTCTCCAATCACCCAGCCAAGAAGTCACCATATTAATCAAATAAACTTTCCATTGAAACACAACTCGCAAAGAAGTGAGGATGAATCTGAACTCAACCACCAACCTTAATTCTTGCTTGGTAGTGATTATCCATATTTTCCATCCAATGATCAACCTCAAGAAGACCACCACACTGATCACCAATCTTTCGAATGTATCATTGGACCACAAAAGGAAACGAAGGTCCTTTTCCATCCAACCCATCTACCCAAAAACAATACTCTGTTTGGCCCTAAATTCACTTCGGGAACCCATTTCTTCAGCTGAATCAACAAGGATTCTTCTAAAAAGCATTTCTCACACGGCCATATTTCTTCTACCATATTTAAACTTTCACAAAAGAAAATGGCTTCGTCAACGTGAAAGGGGTTCAAAATAATGTTCAAATTCAAGAACTTTGTCAGAGCACGTTGAATCACCCTCCAGAATCCGTATACTTTCCCTGCCACATACAACTGCTAAATCCCACTTTCCATGATTAAGCACATCCCTTTCCAAAGAATTTGGCATTGATTTCCCATCCCTTCCTCCATGGCAGCCATACCATGTTCCAGCAAACTCTCTCTTTTGTTTTTACCCTTCTCCACACCGTAACCCTGCCTTGCCCTGCAATACACTTTTCATTTTACTCTGATTACCTTCCTTCAGAAATCAACCCAATACTCTCGACAATTTTGCCCATCAAATCCGAAACTATAAACCCTTCAGAAACAACTATGAATCCCTGGCTCCAAAACTTTGGAGTCTTGACATTGTTAGAAATTTCCGACACCCTTTGGAATTCACTTCCACCCATAATTGGTAAATCCCTGTCCTCTAAACTTTCTGAAAAAATCTCAGAGCTCTTTCACTTCGACACATCACTAAGGGTGTTGCTCAGCCAATGAATGCATCCCAACTGGTATCAATGTACTCGCATAAGGAGTTCTTTTGGTAATCTTAATGGCTTCCCGCACAAGAATCTTCACCTACATCAACCAAAAACATCTTCTGTTCAATCCTATAATATTGCTCAATATGCTTGAATCTGTTCATTGTATTGCTTTAGAAATGTTCATCCCCCCAAACCCACTCCATCACTTGCGAAGAATAAACATTTTTGATACACGTGCACACCAAAAGCAAATGTGTACTGTTTCTTGTAGAAGACAACATAAATTCCATAGGCTTTATACTACAAATATTACAAATGATTACTATATATAATGCACGATTTACAAAAGAAGCATCACAATAATGTAGGAAATAGGCAGGGGAGGAGCCAGGACTCGATCTCAGGGGGTCAAAATATGAATAAGATTATTCACCATCATAATCAAGTTTCTAAAGTTCAAGCATAACAAATACGACAAAATTAGGACCTGCCTCCATATTGTTGAGAAATTGACTATTTAGAAGAGCAGAAATATTATTGGAGTATGACATTTTATCATTTGCATCTAATCGTGTATGAGAAGTTGCTAAAAAAAGTCAATGTCAACCATACAACCGCTTTTAAAAAGAAAGAGTAATGTATTAAATGAAAGAGCAGTATTATCCTGATTCCTTGGTCAATATATAGATTAGGGCATTTACATCTGTTATACACTTATACTCAATCCAAAACTAATAGTTGTTTTATTGGAGTAGGGGCAATGGATCACTAACTTCTTCAAAAGAAATAAAATAGGGCCATTGTATAAATTTTCAAAAACTCAAAGGGGCATTATATCCAATTAAAAAGAGGTATCATATTTCCAATACCATATATGCAGGTTTCCCAAAGGTCACTGGGGGCAACTGCCCCCACACCCTTCTATGTGGCTTCGCCCCTGGAAATAGGGGAACTTCATGACTCCATACATATTATTGTGGAGCTAGCAAAACAAACTACTCCATACTTTTACTATAAATAATGAATAAATAAACTACTAGTTACCGTTATTTATAAATATGGTGCAATAGGAATATAGGATATCTCTTTTTTCCTATCTTATTCACCCAACAAATATACCACTACAGGTACACACAACATAGAGAAGAAATAGTGGGTAAAACAATGTGCAGAATTTATCGAAGCAGCATCAGTCAGGCACAATTGTTCCTAGGAGTTTGTGGACTGCAATACATCGAGTTTCAATTCCGTGATAATCATTGCTCCAAGTGCTCCACTCCTAATAAGTGAACATAGAGAGCTTCAATGTTCAAGCTTCTTTATAGGTGCAGAAGCAAAGATACCACAAAAAATAGCAATGGAGAAACAGGGAAAACAAGAAAATGGAACTAAATAATAAACATACAGCAAGGCATTATCTATACACCAGGCTGTTGGTTGAATCTTCAATTAATTTGATAGCCACAGCCTTTTTGTTAGGTTCCAGAAGAAATAACATTTCTGCAACTGCTGCTTTATGCATCAAAGAATCTGCAGAAACAAACAAATGATTCAGTTTGACAGTTGACAATGCTACTCAATGATGCATTGCCAATGAAAACATGCATATATATTAGATAAGATAGAAGATGACCTTCATGTTTCTAAAGGAAAGAGGAGTTTGCCTCAATCATAGATTTCCCATGCAATTGACTACATAAACAAAAGTAAACATAGTTATTACAATGTGATTTTACTTGGACCAAACAATCATTTACAGCAGAGCATCACAAACGAGAACATCTTCAAGAGAACCTGCATGTTGGGTACTTGGATCAACCAATAACTTCCAGCAGAGCAATCAGAAATGAGACCATCTCCAAGAGAACCTGAATGTTGGACGTCCCACCTCTATGACACTCCAAATGAGTTTGTTGGTGTCAGTTACTGGAGCAGCCATACTGCCATAGAGCCCACTTATGGAAGAATTTAATCTGCAGCAAGTAGAGCTTACTATCAGTTAGCATATAATAGGTGACTTGCTGCTCAAAGTATCTGCAGAAGACAAAGAAAGTGATTCAGCATGACACTGCTACTAAATGATGGGTTGCCGGTGAAGACACCTATATATTATATATATACTAATAAAACAGGACCAATTTTGAATTTCCCGAGTTAGAAAAGCACAACAACAGTTCAGATTTCATCCAATTTTATCTAAACGATCCAGATTTCATCCAATTTCATCTAACTGCAGCCAATGGTACACAATTCATCGCAAAAGAAAACTGCCCAAAACTTAATCCCTTATACACACTACCCAAACTGTCAGACACTATCTCTCTCTCTTCAAGAAGACCCCAACTCAAACACCCACACACTCTCTCTCTCTCTCACTCTTCCAGAAGACCTCTCACACTCACCTCTCGCTCCTCTGCCATGGCTCAACCTACCGCGGATCAACAAAAAGCCGACAACAACACAGCTCAGATACCTCTCTCTCTCTCTCTCTCTCTCTCTTCTCTCTCACCTTTCTTTCACACACAAACACACAGCAAACACACATTTTGTTAGGGTTTTCTATGAATATTTTCAAATTTGGGTATTTTGTAGGAAATTGAATGTTTTATTTTCAGCTTGGGTTTTCCATTACATCATGTTTGTCACATTTCAAAATTAGGTTTTTCATAGAATTGTAGGGTTTTGATTGAATGCTATAGTTGTTAGTGGTATTTTGATTGAATGTTAAGAGTTATTAGTGGTATTTGTTTGAACGTTATGGTTTTGAAATTAAATGTTAGATTTACTTGGATTGCGATTGGGTTTTAATTTCAATTTTTTTTTTTATGAAATTGCATGTTAAGGTTTTGTTAATCGTATAAATGACATGTTGACTTTATTATTTTCTAACTGGTGTTAACTTTATACATAGGATTTTGGAGATTAATTTTTTTGAAATTGGAAGTTGGTTTTGCAATTGAACGTTAAGATTTTAAAATTAAAGGTTACGAAGAAATTGTTTTGATTGTTTATTAACTGCAGCCAATGGTACACAATTTATCGAAAAAGAAAACTGCCCAAAACTTAATCCCTTATACACACTACCCAAACTGTCAGACACTATCTCTCTCTCTTCAAGAAGACCCCAACTCAAACACCCACACACTCTCTCTCTCTCTCACTCTTCCAGAAGACCTCTCACACTCACCTCTCGCTCCTCTGCCATGGCTCAACCTACCGCTGATCAACAAAAAGCCGACAACAACACAGCTCAGATACCTCTCTCTCTCTCTCTCTCTCCTCTCACTTTCTTTCACACACACACACACACAACACAGTCACATTCACACACATACACACAGCAAACACACATTTTGTTAGCATTTTCTATGAATTTTTTCAAATTTGGGTATTTTGTAAGAAATTGAATGTTTTATTTTCAGCTTGGGTTTTCCATTACATCATGTTTGTCACATTTCAAAATTAGGTTTTTCATAGAATTGTAGGGTTTTGATTGAATGCTATAGTTGTTAGTGGTATTTTGATTGAATGTTAGAGTTATTAGTGGTATTTGTTTGAACGTTATGGTTTTGAAATTAAATGTTAGGTTTACTTGGATTGCGATTGGGTTTTAATTTCAATTTTTTTTTTTATGAAATTGCATGTTAAGGTTTTGTTAATCGTATAAATGAGATGTTGACTTTATTATTTTCTAACTAGTGTTAACTTTATAAAATAGGATTTTGGAGATTAATTTTTTTGAAATTGGAAGTTGGGTTTGCAATTGAACGTTAAGATTTTAAAATTAAAGGTTACGATGAAATTGTTTTGGTTGTTTATTAAATTTTCTTTTAATGTTTGGAGATTGGACTCTTTTGAGGCCTAGGGCTTGAAATTCAATTTTAGTTCATGATGATGAATTTTTTCTCACATCTTTTTTTTCATTTTTTTTAAGAATTAAAAATGTTTATGGATTGACGACTCTACATATACATGTTTGTACGTTAAATTAATTGTTTGGTAAGCATAAAATATAGAGTTGTAATTGGTATTTTGATTAACAACACTGACCAAATTTGACTTGTGATGCTTACGGTTAAATGATTTAGTGGTGATGGACTAGTGAAGTGGATTGGGCGGCTATGCAGTGCAATTGTAGTGGTGATGCCTTTGTTATGTTGATTATCTTTACTGCTTTTGTATGATGATGAGTTCATTTTTTAAGACTCGGTTATTAGTTAAGTTTGTTGCTTAGATTGTCTAAGGGTTGGATATGGATGTGGATGATTGTAAATGGTCTTTGGGGGTGGTTATAGCTTAGATTGTCTAGGGGTTTTTTAAGTCAAAATTTTGACTTGATCTCTTGGAAGATGAAATTTCTTTTATAACCAAAAAGGAAGTCATAAAACGCAATTCAAGTGTAACACCCATAAATTATTCTAAGATTTTTTCCATTGCATTTAGTAAAAATTTTTCTCACCACGGAGTTAGTTTTGACATGGATCTTGCTCTGATTTTTGGTTATTGGGATATAATGTTTCTAATTGGTATTATCCATAATTATTAGATTGTTTTTTAGCCTAACTATTGATATTGTGTGTTTAATTTTATTTTTTTTCTTTTGACATCACGAAGGAGACTTTTGATATTGAAATTGTAATAGGTGTTGAAGATATCACTGTGATGCAGATCGTATTAGCTCTGATACCAAATTGATGTAGGTTATATTAGTTATGATACCAAATTGACATAGACTAGGAAGGTAAGAATTAGGGATGAGAAGAGAAGAAGAAATGAATGAGAAAAGAGAAAGAATTTGAGAAGGAAACAATATCAATATTCAATAATAATCTAAGTCTAATCTAAATAAAACCCTTACATGTATCCCTTTATATAGGGAAATTAAAACCCTAAAACAAATAAATAATGACAAATAAACCCTCAAAAGTTAAAAATAAATACTTAAAAAATAAATACTAAAAGTATATAAATAACTCTCAGAACTAATCTATAATATCTATCTAATTCCTACACGATCCCCATCAAATTATTCTTGGAAGATTAATGTCCTTTGTTTAGAGGATTTGAGTAGATATTAACTAACACATTGTGGTGATACACAATTTTTACGGGACCTAAATTCAGTTGTACTTTCAACCGGAAGAATGAATGGTTGAGACTTGCTAGACTTACAGTGGACGCAGAATGTATTCTAAAACAATGACTTCAGATTGGATTTAGGTTTAAGAAAGATTATAGATTTTTATGCATAATTGTTATGATTACGAAATTTTATCATTGGTGTGGTGCAGATTTAATAGGATTGTGCTTTTTGATACAAAAGACAAGGGGGCACAATATATTGATTTTACAAGTTATTTGGCTTCTACAGTGTGAGTGAATCTACTTAGTTTATTCATATTAGCTTAATTTTGGTGTTAATTCAGTTTATATTTTTATCTTATTCTTTTTGGTATTAGATGTTTGGATTAAAGTATTATAGTAGTTAATAAATATTAGTACTAACGTGATGTGATGAGATTATCGATGCAAATTAGTTTTTATTTACATAAAGGTTTGATTATGAGTCGTACACATAAGTTGATACTGTCAATTGGATCATGTTTACAAAGAGAACTTTGTCGAATTTTTTTTTAAATAGAACAATTGGTATATATCATCTACTGAAATTTTGTTTGTTACACCAATATTTTGATATGAGATTCACATGTGTATTGAAAACTACATGCAATACCTAATTGATAGTAGTTGGTCGTTAAATGTTGAAATAGTGGATCTGGAGTAATGAAATGTACATTCCTTGATGTCCTCAATGCTCTTTTATTTGATATGACTTTTAATTAACAATTTTTTTTTTTTTGGTTACTCCGTGCCTTTAGCCATGGACAATTACTAGTGCATATATATTAGATACTGTAGAAGATGACCTTCATGTTTCTAAAGGAAAAAGAAGTTTTCCTCAATCAGACATTACTCATGCAATTAACTACACAAATAAATGCAATAGACACAAAGATGTTTCAATGCAATTTTACTTGGATCAAACACTAATTTACAGCAAAGCAATCAGAAACAAGACCATCTCCAAGAGAACCTCAATGTTGGGCAGTCCACTTCAAAGACACTCTAAATGAGTTTGTCGGTGTAAGTCGCCGGAGGCCATAGAGCCCACTTTATGGAAGAATCTAATGCAGAGTATAGCTTGCAATCAGCCTTTGTATGATAGGTGAATCCTTGGTCCTCTAAGGGTGAGTGCATGTTTTAGAGGCATGTATAAAATAAAACAGGTGCAATAGAATAAAAATAGAGTGAGAGAACAAGTATGGAGACTTACCATGTTGCTAAAGACCCAAGCTCATTACTTGGATTCTTTGGAGAGAAAATATGTCTTTGTTTTTGACTTGGTAATAATAATGATGTACCAAGACAACCATACTTCCAACTTTCTGATTAGTAATAAGTAATAACAAAGTTGAGTCTTGCAATAATCAATACAACTCAATTCCCTTGTCCCAATATGTTGCTATAATCAATGATAATTATATTGGGACATGTCATCGACCACTCCAATCATAACCTGAGCAGAAAATAGAAAAAGAAAAGATAATAAATCTGTCTTGCAAAGAGAAAGATGTAACTCAGCAGAAAATAGAGATATACCATGACATCGGGTAGCATTGCTAGGAAAGACGTTCTGTCCACTTCTTTGCCTCCAATGAATCTGTGTCTATAGATAACTTTGTAATTGATAAATCTGGTAAATTTTTAATTAACTTGCATCCAGAAATGTCCAAATATTCTAATGTTTGCAATTCCACTAGTCCCTGGATCTCAGTTAGTTTTTCACACCAAAAAACCATTAATACCTCTAATTTTTTAAGGCTTGACAAATCAGGTGTTTTTTCAATGTTGCATCCAGAAATGTCCAAGAATACTAAGGATTTCATTGCCTCAACTCCCCTGATCTCAGTTAAATTCTTACAGCCACGAATTTTTAACTGCTTTAAATTTTTTAGGTTTGATAGATCCAATACCCTTTCCAGTGATATGCAGCATGACACATCCAGTCTCTCCAAGGATTTCAAAACCCTAAGGCCCTCAACATCAGCTAGCTTCTGGCATTCACAAAGAGTTAATCCTTTTAGCATTCCCAAGTTTGATAAATCAGGTAATCTTTCTAACGATATGCACTGTGACATGTCTAATGTCTCCAAGGATTTCAAAATCCAAAGGCCCTCATCCACAGCTAACTTCTTGCATTCACAGAGACCTAGATATTTTAGCCTTCCCAAGTTCGATAGATTGGGTAATCTTTCAATGGATATGCAATGACCCATCTTCAAAACTTCTAAGCATTCCAATCTATCCAGGCCTTGAATCTCGATTAGCTTCTTGCATCCCTCAGTAATTAATCTTTGTAACTTCTTTAAGTTTGACAAATCCGGTAATCTTTCTAGGGATTCACTCCATGATGCGTTCAAGTATCTTAAAGATTCCAACTGTTCAAGCCCATCAAGCTTAGATAGCTTTTTACACATACATATGTCCAACCTCATCAAAAAATCTAATTTCCCCAGGCCTTGAATCTCCATCAGCTCAGAGCATTGAACAAGCTTTAAATCTGATAAATTCTTCATATCTGACAAATTTGACAATCTTTCCAGTGATTTACAATCCTCAATACATATTTTGAATAAACTAGAGGGAAGCCCAGGGATACAATGAAGATTTTTGCAGGATTGTACTGTGAATTTCTTGAGCCGAGATAGGGCACCAATCTCTATCGGTAAGGTGCTAATGTTGGTATTGTACAAGTGCAAGCTCTCCAATTTGGATAATTTCCCAATATCTCTAGGAATTTCCACCAGATACAAGCACTCATACACGAATAATGCCTTCAAATTCATCAAGTTGGAAAGACTTGGGAATTCGTCACATGTGACACGTAGAGTTGTTAAACTCGGGGGAAGCTCCGGCAGCGAGGAAAGCGCTAAGTTGGACACATCAAGGGTTTCAAGGCGAGAAAGCCCAGCAATGCTTGTTGGCAGGCTACAAATCTCGGTAGAATTTAAACGCAAGATCCTCAGAGAGGATAGTCTCCCAATATTACTAGGAATTTTCCCCTCCAAATCTTCACATAACGAGGCATTTATCTCTTCAAGCTTCTCTAAATTTACAATAGCATCAGGTAACCTTGTTATGCCAGAATATGAAATGTCAAGCACTCTCAAATTAATTAGATTCGCAATCATTGGGTCAATTTGCACCACATTTACACAACCGTTAAGAATCAATCTCTCTAAAGTTGCAAATGTGGAAATGTCAGGAATTTTGGTTAAGCCATAGCAACGTGAGAGTTTTAGAACTTTCAACCTTTTTGCCACCTGTAAAACAAGAAAATAATTAAAAAAAGATCAATTTCGAGGAAGAATATGATGTGACAATAGAAACAAAAGCAAAGATTATTCCATAAGACCTTGATTTGACTCCAAACCCCCCAATCATCAGTGACTTTGCTGCTTGATAGATCAAGAATGACTAGACTCTTTAAATTAAAATTTGTTGGCGCAAAATTCCCTGGGCATCCATGCCAGTGAAGCCATCTTAACTTTGAAAGAAGACGATTAAAATCTCCAGCAAGGTCTGTGTATTGCATTTGGAGAAACCTTAAATAAGGAAGTTTCTCGAATTCTTCATATCTAAAACAGTGACGAGATTCTAACTCTGAGTAATCAAAGTCAAGACGGAGGGCTTCAACCATTTTGGTTCCCTGCCAATACAAAACGTTAAAATAAATAAAAAAGATTTATGGAGTCCAAACAAAAAGATGTGTGAATATTAATCATTGGTTTCACCTGTTTTTGAGAAAATTTGAATGACTATTTCAACCTTATACAAGCCTATTCGTATACTTTGGATTCATGTTCATATTGTTCAGACAATGCCAAACACAGATTCATGGACCCAACCCCAAAATTGTTGGGACATAGTTTTGTTCAGTTGAGCTTACAAGCCTAAATTGGTTACTTTCCACACCCCCCCCCCCCCCCCCCCGCCTTTTTTCTCTCTATTTTTTTCTTTGTTTGGCTTGAAACCTAACCTACACCAACCACAACCCTGTCTCAAACGACACGGACTAAGGCCCTTAGTCGTTTACAGAGATTTTGATTATTTTTTTCCTATTTCGGCCAATACAACTTTTATGATGCCGAAGTTTGAAAAGCTCTTCTATTAAAGATTTTTGTTTATTTCATAATTACATGAATGAGGAAGTAAGAAAAAATTTAGAAGCTATATGAATGAGGAAATAAGGAAGGCAAAATTCATGATGCACTTGGATCTTACCATCCGTCCCTCCAATATGTCCAAGGCTTCCTCGTGAGACCATAACCTACTATACTCCCCCCGGTCAGAATTGTTCCCACGAACAATTTGCCTACCAAGGTCTCTAAGCTGATCATGCATCCTAAACTTACCATCATCTCCAATTTTTACCAAAGACCTGAGAACAAGGACATTAAACCCATTTTTGGGATAAAATTTACAATCATCCCACATGTAAAAAGGATTTATTTTATCCTCTCCAATGAAGAAACATGCAATATCAAGGAATATTTGTTTTTGCACATTATCAAGTGCCCTGTAACTTATTATCAACTTTTCCATGACTTCCTCATGAGGTATTTCTTTTAGCGTCGTCAATGTATCATCCCATTCTGCTTTCCCATTCCCCAATAAAAAAGAGCCTAAAATCTCAAGAGCCAGAGGAAGCCCTGCAGTAGTGGATACGATTTCTCTAGAGAGATTAACATAGTCTTCCGGAGGAAAGTCCCTCCTAAAGGCATGCTTGCTAAATAGTTGAAGAGAATGATCAGGATTCAACACCGGGGGTTCGTAAGTCTTATCCACTTCAAGTTCATTTAGAACTAATTTGTTTCTTGTTGTAACTATGATCCTACTTCCTGAATCAAACAAATCACGCTTTACTACAAGCTTATCAAATCTGATTTCTTTCCGCAAACCGTGTCTTTGATCATGTTGATTCCGTCATCAACATTTGCAATGTCCGAGCATTTTCTGTTTAGTATCTTAGAGATAAGTTGCTTTTGCAAATTAATAAGATCCTGATGTTGTTGTGACCTTTCTTGAACATCTGGAAGAAAGCAACAACATTCAAAGCCCTCAGAGATTCGATTGTAGATGACCTTTGCAATGGTTGTCTTGCCAAGACCACCCATGCCATGGATTCCAACAATCCGTACATCATTGGAGTCAACATTTAATAATCCCATCATTTCTTCTACGGGCCAATCAATTCCAACCAAGTTGTCAGTTACAACCATGTAATTCTTCTTTAACTCTAACAAAACCTTCGAAACAATCATCTTTACTAGTGCTCCTTGATGTCTGCCAAATAGAATCGATATCAAGGGGGAAAAACAACAAATAATTAAACTTTACCAAAAAATGAATAATGAATTTTATTTTTATTCAGTTTGGTGTGTCTATGTTGGAGCAAAGAGAATAATTGTGATCGGAAAATATCGTAGTACTCTACGCAAGGATATTCGTATGTTGCTCGCTATCTCAAATTCCAACACTTGAAGAATTAATTAATTAAGCTCCGGTTATTTAAAGAGCCTAATATATCATATTGGCATAAGGTCATAGCAGGAGTGAATTACCCTTTAGTTTCTTTCTTCAATTCCCATCCCTTCAATTGTCCAACCTCTCTCAGAGCCTCCTTCCATCCTTGGACAGTCTTTTCATCGAAATGCTTCTCGTGTAGGCGAAAGGCTTCCTCGTAACTCCCCGTTTGATGTCGTACATCGGATGGCTCGACGTCGTAGAAAATAGGTAAAATCATTTGTCCCATAGTTGTTCGGCACTCGACCATCTGGGCGAGCTCACGGAGGCACCATTTACTAGAAGCATAGCCCTTGGAAAAGATTGGGACGGAGATTTTCGATTCCTTGATTGCTTTGAGAAGCTCCGGGCCGATCACTTCCCCTACGCGAAGTTCATCATCGTCCCTAAAGGTGCGAATTCTAGCATCGACAAGATCGCTGTAGAGGAAATCGGTGAAGCCGTGACGAGTGTCATTGCCTCTGAAACTCAAGAATACTTCGTATTCCCCTCCGGAGTCGGAGTCGGAGTCGTAGCCGGAGGAAGGGGCGGGGGCGGAGGAGGCATCGGCAGCGGCAGCGGAGGCGGCTGAAGTACTGTTCCCAGCGGTGGCGGTAGTTGCGCTTCTTGATCCCCTCTTCTTAAGCATGAGCAAGGAAAGCAGAATCAAGCAATTGTCACAAGACAAGGTAACCAGAACAACCCCGCGTAATACATTTCCACAATACAGGCGTTAAGCAATTCTCTTTCTCTCTTTTCCTCCTCCTCCTATCTCTCTCTCTGAAGAAATTGAAAACCTTTCGCCAGGCTTTACCTTGGATACCTTTCGTGCTGTGTTGATCCTCCGTGTCCAATAATCCGAAAAGTCTAATTTGTCTGGTGCGAGAAAATATTCGTTACAACGGGGATACCCGTGACAAGGTAATACAGTATTAACAACTAATACTACTAAAATAAATAATCATATGAAATTCACAAAAATTAATAATTAATTTGTCATGTAAACAAATAATTTCTTACCCTCTTAAGTTGAAGTAGAGTTCACCTTTCTCATTTGAGATTTTATTATTTATAAGTGATACAATGTCATCAATGGTGACATAGTATCACCGATGCATTCAATATTTACTCTCGAACAGAGTATTCAATCGTTTTTTTTTTCCATCAAATGGTGTTTGGATCATTGGATTTGGAGGATAAGAAGGGAGATTGGGTTAAAATTATCTCGGAGGTAGGACGGCAGTGGATTGAAGCAGGGGTGGGACTGTAGTTTTTTAAAACAGTTAAGTATTTTTCGCCAAAATTTGTCTTTCTTATGGATCCAATACAACATTATGCAATATAAAATAATGTAACATAATATAATCTAACATAAAAAAATAAAAATTTATACTTTTACAAGTCAAAAACATGAAAAGAAAATAATTTTAAAAAAAAAATTATTTAATAATATATATATTTGTATTCATAGCAATATTTACACAATCTGTGTCTGAAGGCACGATGAAACATAAATTTCGAACATCTAAAAAATCGTTCTCACTATATTAAATAATAATTTTTTTCCTTAATTTATTTGATTACATCATTTAAAATTTATTTTTATACATTATTTTTTTAAAAATATTGACAAAAATATGTAATCTGATAAATTTTTTCAACATGTGTATATTATCGTATATGGATAATGTTTGAAATAAAAATTATGTTAAACTACAAATTAATCAAATATTAAATGATTAAATATGTGTAGAAATGAGTCGTGGAATGGTTTTGTGGAAAAAATATTTATGGGATAAAATTTTAAATAATTAACTATTTTTTATATATATAAAATAATAATAATAATAATAATAATAACGGGTAAAGTGAGGGCGGGATGAGAGTAAATGTCAGTTCATCCCCGCCTTTATCTCTACACGGATTTATACGAGTATTCTTTTATACGTTCACCGTCCAGTACGTATAGTCTATCCTCGGTCATTGTCATTCCTACTTGGGGCCCACTTATCCCTAGTTTAGCAAGACAATTTTAAAAAAAATAATCGTTGGCTTTGAAAAGTCGGGCCGTATGAATTGGAGGGAAATTTCCCATTTGAGCCAGATATAGATAACCCAGGTGAAGTAGGGGATTTATAACCTCCTCAACAGGATAGTTGAGCAATTTATGTAACACACCCAACACAAAAACTTTCTTGGGTTTATACCCCCTTCACCCACATTTCAATCCAATGCATTGGTCCCCTTGAGTTGCAAACTACCACGTGCTCGCAAGAATGCCCATCTCTTTCTCTCCTCTGTCTCTCTCTCTTTGAGGTCTCCAAACTAGCAACCAAAGTTGTAACAATGTTTTCTTTTTTTTTGCTAGTAAAAAAGAAGGTTGGGTGCACGAAGAGCGCCTAGAAACAACTCCAATAGAGTTTTATTGGTGGAATCATGAGACCACCGACCATACTTGTTACTCCTATTGAGAATAAATCTAGCTTGACTAACATAACGGTTAACTACCAAACTCCAATTTGGATTATAAGACTCGAACCTCTAACCTCAGGGTGAAAAGTTTGAGTGGTACCCCTCTCAAAAATGAGGTTATGTTATCTGTTTTGGATCTTTGAACGAGCATTACGCTGCGACTATGTTGTAAATTATTTAAGATCTATTTAACGTGTCATCTGATTTTACTTGAAAAACTACAATCATGTCCCTTGTTGTTTTTTTTTATGCATAAAAATGCAACATCGACTATTTTGGTCATAAATTATGTGCATGAAAAATTTTAAAAAATTATTCGATCTTGTATTTTTAAACTGACGGATATAAGAATATTAAAATATTATAATTTTTTTAATTTCATGTAATATACTAAAAATCATAGTTTTGCTTCGAAATAAGTATAACTTATTTTATGACAATCAATATTATTATTATTGATTGTTTTCAATAAAATATTCCTGCAAACCAATGTTACTCATCATACCTACCCATCCAAACTTGGTATAGAATTGAAAACTATTTTATTCCAAAGGGTGTAATGGTCTTCTCATTTACATTTATTAGGCCATGTGCATGGGGGCCATGGTTCTAAATTTTCCAATCCAAATAAAGTATTAGATTCGATCAAAATAGTATGATCCA